AAATATGGAAAATCTTAAACTTACCTCGTTGCGTAGAGTATGAACCTCATTCTGCAACGATACTATCATCTCACGTAGAGCGGCAACCTCACCACGTAAAGTTGACACCTCCACACGCCATGCACCATCGTTATCGCGTAGAGTACCGATCTCCTCACGCAAGGCATTGACCTCATCACGTAACTCCCTTGACTCATCCCGTTGAGGTGGAGGTGGAGAACAGGGAGATAGGAGTCGTGGCATCTTTGCCGGTCGCCTATCATGAGGTGATGGTGGAGAAGAGGCTCGATGATGTGACGGGATAGGTGATGGCTCTCGTTCTAGAGGTGTATAGTCGTCACGATCGGGTGATGGCTCTAGGTGAGGTGATGGCTCTCGAATTGGAGGAAGTGGATGCTGCTCATCATCCGTGCCATCAAAAAAACTCTGACTAGCTTGCCACCAATCAGTGGCAAGCTCTTCCTCCGTGGGTGACAGTCTTTGTAATGGAATGTTGGCCTCCTAAAATATAAAAACTCAAACAAAGTTAAACGTCTACTATTAATAACTTGTTTATATATTATATGAAAGTATTTGTGTTAACTTACATTATTTATTGTGGCATATGGTATTAAGTCTTCCCAATCCAACAGAGTTTTCCTCTTCCAGGAAATAGCCCTGGGAATATCATTTGACGTTTTTATTGCATATGTACGCATGCTGGGGAAAGCCTCGAATATCCAAATCTACAAACAATATAATAACAAAATTAGTAATTGTTAAATAATTAATTATAATTTTAGAAACATTATATAGAAATTCTTACCTTAAAGGCCCAAACAAAGCCTGACAAAGTGTATTTGGACCCATCGCCCCGCAAACTTTTGCGGTCATCAAAGGCAGACGACAACTTAGTCCAGGTAGCTTTCCATATATACGAACCCCACGGAAACAGATTCCATGCATTCAGGTCCTCTACCAATATTATTAGCTCCCGATGAATAGGTTGTCTGGCCTCTCTGCCTAAAAAGCCGGCATACACAAGTAGTAGAAGGCATACTCGGACAACATCGACGTCTTCCATCCGAGTGAAACCAGCTTTCTTATTAAATAATTTCTTCAGGTCGTCGACATGTAGGTTCGGCTTCTCCATTGACTCATCCGGAAAAACCCGGGATAACCATGATGGGCGGGCGATATGACGAGTGTACCGGCCTACATCATCGTGTCCGAATCGTAGACCAGTGATTAAGCAGAACTCCTTCCGCCCAAAGCAAGTATACGCTGGTGGAAAATGAAACCATATCTCTTCCTCACCACGTTGTATACTGTCGGGTAGATTTGATGTCATGGTCTGAAGCCACAAATGGGTCAAATTAGCATCTCCACCCGATGCTGTACTCTCAGCCATGGCCCGAAGCAGGTTTCCTCAAACAATTGTCTTTGAGCAGGTGAAAGCTTCTTTGCAATTGTAGTGGCCAGGCTGACTTTATTTCTCAAGGTCAATTGAGCCGAAAAAAATTTCTACAAAACAATAAACATACCAAGTTAGATATACCAAAAACTACACTGTGAAGATATACCAAAAACAATAAACATAAAAAGTAGTAGTTTATTCTTTAAACTAAAATTTGCAACACTGTTTTGTCTTTTGGTTGAAATGAAAATCGCAACGAGAGAATCGCAACGCGAGATGACAATCGCAACGAGAGAATCGCAACGCGAATGAAAATCGCAACGAGAGAATCGCAACGCGAAATGAAAATCGCAATGCGATTTTGGTTTCGCGTTGCGATTCTCTCGTTGCGATTTCCATTTCGCGTTGCGATTCTCTCGTTGCGACAGTCATTCTCTCGTTGCGATTTTCATTTATCTCGTTGCGACTCTTCTGCAAATTGAAACTTGAATGGATTGCATTACTTCAACCAAAAGACAGAACAAAGACAAAGACAAATACTAACTTGAAAATCGCAACGAGAGAATAGCAACGCGAAATGAAAATCGCAACGACAGAATCGTAACGCGAAATGAAATCTAAGTGAAATGGTTAATCTATTATTGAAATGACCAGTAAACTTATCATCAGTTTCAATATGAAAAACCTACAATAATGCAAACATTTCAAAATAAAAATAATTAAAAAACTAACCCTCGGAGGTTGATTTTCCATTTCTGAATATTGTGAGGGATTTCTGACCGTGAATGGTTGTGAGGGATTTCGCCGGAGATGGGGACGGAAATCTTCGGAGATGGGGACGGATTTCTTCGCCGTAGAGAGTGAGAGATGGAGATGGGACTGAGTTGTGATTTTAGGTTTTAGGTTATGAGTTGCGATTACGGGATTTTGTCTTAATATTCTTTTTGTAATTTGAAAATAAAATACGCGTAGCGATTATAATGGCGCTTTAAATATCGCGTTGCGATTTACGGATACGCGTTGCGATTTTATGTATTATCGTTGCGATTTACGGATACGCGTTGCGATATACGGATACGCATTGCGATTTACCCATACGCGTTGCGATTTACGGATACACGTTGCGATTTACGGATACGCGTTGCGATTTATGTGTTCGCGTTGCGATTTTCATATTCGCGTTGCGATTTTGGAAAATCGCAATGCGAATTTGTACTATCGCATCGCGATTTTCAAGAATCGCGTTGCGATTTTGGAAACTGATTTGCGATTCTGGAAACTGATTTGCGATTCTGGGGATCGCGTTGCGATTTTTATTTCGCGTTGCGATTTTGTTGGTCATTTTGGCAAATCCAAAAAAAGTTGGTTAAAATCGTATATTATAACTTTTTTTTGGTCACTGAGGCGATTTTCTCTTACTAATATCTATAAAGTAACAAATTATCTTTAAAAACTGGATATTCGACAGTGCCCTCAAGGTCAAGGACGTACGTGAACATATCCAGCTTGCTATACAATCCTTTAAGGCAGGGGTGGATGCACTAAATACACATGTTAAGTGCATCTTATTATTTTTAAAAAAATATAAAAATTAATTTAATATGATAAGAAAAAATATATTTTTTTACATACACGTTACTTTTTAAAAAATAAAAACAAAATTTTAAATCTCATCTTTAAATTTTTAAATCCGTTACTACTTTAAAGTTAAGTCTTTAAAGAGTTTCGTTTGAATTGTTTCTCTTGAGATAAACACATCTTCTAATGGTGCGTTTGATTTACGGAATGTAAGATTACCAGTGAGAATAAAAGATTACCAGGGAATAGGATTACTGGGAATGTTATATTTTGTGTTTGGTTGATTTAGCAGTAATGTAAAATTATCGTATTTGGTTAAAGGAATAAAAGATTATTGAAATGTATATTTGACCAAATTGTGTTTATTATATATTTGTATAATATTACAAATTGTAAAATATTTATATATTTTCTTTAAAAAATTAAATTCATAATATTTATATAATTTTTTTACAAAATTAAAAATATAAAAAAGGTTTAATAAAAGGGTAAAAAAAAATTTAACCCCTGAACTTCATATAAAATTTTAATTATAGATTTTTTTTTTGTAAATCTAAAATAATTTAAGGATGAATTTGTAATTTAATCTTCGTAGAATTTTTATTATTCAATGACAGAAGAATGATATTTTTGAAAATAAAAATAAAAAATTTAAGGGCATTTTAGTCTAAAATACCGGTAATGTTACAATACCTAAGGGAAGGGAGGTAATGACATTCCCGATAATATATCTCAAAAAATCTACTATTGATAATAAAATATTACCGGGAATGAGATTCCCGGCCAACCAAACATTAGAATGTGAGATTCCCATGGGATGGAAATCCTACAATCCTTGAACCAAACACCCGTAAAGGATTTCTACTAACACTATCAATCAAAATCCTTCCAACAAAGAAATTATCCATCATGGCAGAGACTACTAAAGTGTCATACGAAAATATATGTTTCTTCAATACCATTTGTTTAATAAATTCTATATTTACTTATACTTAACTATTTATTTATTTATTTGCAAATAATTTATCAAATATTTAATTCGTTTATGACTTTAAATAAGAAAATTAAAAATTAGATATAACTTGGTTATTTATAGACAAGTTTAAGCCTAAATATAATTTTCAAATAAATTTTGAATTCCTAGAATCTTAAAAACCGAATACCTCAGTGGAAAAAAGTGACTTCCACTGGGCAAAGCCCGGTAAGCACCAGGAGGCTATGGCGGCGGGGCTTGCCGCATGGAACACGATGACCTCGTTATTCGAAACGCCCTTTCACATCATTCACCTCATTTTCCCACTCTTCCTTCAATTTCTTGTTTGTTTGCCCTATTTTGTTTACTCCTCGTACTAAAGCTCTCTACAAATAGACGAAAATCCAAACCGCTCCTTGATCGACGTACTTTCAGAATCCCACTCGATGGTCAACGCCAGCGCCGACGCCGATAAACTCAGTATTGGGCGGAAGCTTTTCTCTCCGCCGTCTGTCTCCAGCAAGGCAAAACTGTTTGATTTGAGATTTAATTCTATGTTGTATTGATTCCTTCACCTCCAATTTATCTTCGTTTTTGTGTGTATATATATTATAATTTTAATAATTTTCGTAGAATTTAAAATAAGTAACCATTTGGTTATAATTAAAAAAATTCGTTATTATCTTATAAATCGATAGTATTTTTTTTAACATTTTACAATGAAACTAAAATATTATAATATGGTTCTTATTTTTCATATTAATTAATCAATTCATAATTTTAATATTTTTCCTTAGAATTTTAAATAAAGTAATTCTTTGATTATAATTTATTTTAAAATTTTCAATCGGTTGAGGACTCCAAGTTAGAAGGCGGAAGAGGGACAAAGAGCTAAAGTGTTCAAATTTCCGAAAAAGTCCTCAGCAGTATCATACGATTCAACATACGGTCTAACTTCTCCTTTCGCAGTTCTCCTGGTTTCTACTGTAATTCCTAACAACATGAGGGGCATTATCGCACTTTCAAAATTCACCCCCTTAAATCTGTAAATAAAAAAGAGGGATTTGATAGAATGTTTTTCTTTCTTTTTTATTTTATCTAATTTCTATTGTTTTTTCTCTCTCTCTGTTTGTTTGGCGCAAAAGATTTTCTGTTTTCCACAGCTCTCGAAGCTCGTCGTCGATCTGTTCTTCACGTTTGTCGATTCTTTTGTCTCACGATTTTCCCGCGCCTCCCGATTGTTTGTTCTCTCGGTAGATTCTTTTGTCTTGTTAATTTCTTACTTAATTATAAACATTGTTTCTTTTGTCAATTCCGCGGTGTTCCAAACTCTAGAAACCGTGTGGATTTTCGAATGCTTCTATTTTTTCTTCTATATTCCTTGTTTTCTTTTTTTTTTTAGTGAAACCCTGCATTGATTTGGTTGACGTGGTTTCCTGGCGGGTTTTTGTTGCTGTGGCGAATTAGGTTAATTTCGGAAGGAGAAGATTTGAGGAGTTGGAAAAGAGGGAAAGAAGTTTTGCGACGTAGGAGCATCGATAGCCCCGAGAAAAGGAGAGACGTCTAGGGTTTGAGAGAAGTTGGAGAATTCGGAGGAAATTGTGGAGACTTCCATGGGCGATGGAGTTGCGTGCATGCCTTTTCAGCAGCATCAACATCAGCATATCATGGAGATGTTTCCAGTTACAGAAAAATCGCTTTGTCCCAACAATGAGCTCACTTCAAAGCCTGTTAATATCAAAGACAACGCGGAGCAACAACAGCAGCAGCAGAAGCAACATGAACCACAACAGCAGCAGAAGCAACCGGAACCACAACAGAAGCTGCCGCGAAAGAAGAAAAAACTCGTTAATGTTAAGAAAGTAGTGTGGCTAAGAAGAAGGTGGGATCGACAGCAGCAGCAGCATCAAAAAAGAGTGATTTGGTAGTTAAAGCAAAGAGTGAAGCGGCACTGAAAAACAGTAAAGAGATTGATGAAGGTGAGAATTATGGGCAGAAGGAGGAAGTGGAAGAAGGTGAATTAGGGACTTTGAAATGGCCGGGAGAAGGGGAGAATGTGGAGGTTGGGACTGACTTGTCAAAAAGTGGGGAAATTGAGAAGGGAGAGATTGTTAGTGATAACTGTAGGAAGGCAGAAGTAGTCAAGGAAGATGTTGTTTCTGAGGTGAAAGCGGAGCCAGAGAAAGGGGAAACTGTATCTAAGAAAAAAGGGGGGCTGATGAATGGAGGGATTGTTACAGGTAAATGGAGAAAAGGGGATGTGGGGGAAGGAAGACATGGTTATGGAAAAAGGAAGGAAAGGAGAACCTGAAAAGGGGGAATTTGGGTCATGGAGATGTGCCAAAGATGACCTAGAGAAAGGAGAATTCATTCCTGATAGATGGCATAAGGGGGACTTAATGAAAGATGAGTACAGTTACAGTAAATATAGGAAGTATGAGTTCGGAAAGGACAGGAGCTCGAAATATGAAATTGAACGTACACCACCTTCCGGAAAGTACTTAGTTGATGATCTTTATCACAGGAAGGAATTCGGTAGAAGTACTGTGCATACCAAAAGTTCTTCCAGATGTGAAACTAGCCTGGAAAAGACTTCTAGAATCAGTTCAAAGATTGTGGATGAGGAAGGCTTGTATAAGAATGAGTACAGCAATGGTAAGAACCAGGGGCGAGAGTACCCTTCTTCTGGTAACAGGTTGAAGCGGCATGGTACTGATTTAGATAGTAGTGACCGCAAACATTATGGAGATTATGGGGACTATGCAAGTTCAAAATGCGAGAAGCTCTCCTATGATTATGGTCGGTCCCACCCAGAGCTCTATTCACGCCGCTCTGTTGAGAAGTTCTATAAAAATTCTTCTTCATCAAAAATGTCTTCATTGGAGAAGTACTCTTCAAGACATCGTGAATCCTCGTTGTCATCTAGGGTTGTTTATGATAAGCGTGGGAGTAGTCCGGCACATTCTGAGCGGTCCCCACATGATAGGATCAGGAATTATGATCATAGGGACCGGAGCCCAATTCGACGTGAGAGATCCCCATGGGACAGATCCCCATATGCCTGTGAGAGATCCCCATATACCCTTGAGAAATCCCCATATGCTCGTGATAGATCCCTGTATGCTCATGAGAGATCCCCATATGATCGAAGCCGTCACTATGATCATAGAAACAGAAGTCCTATTAATGCAGGGTGGTCCCCAGAGGATCGAGCTAGATTTCATGATCGCAGAGACCGGACCCCAGCTATATGGAACAGTCTCCCCATGATAGGAATAAGACCAAAAATCGAAGAGACAATTAAAAAAGATGTCTCAAATGAGAAGCGTGGCTCAGAATATGGTTCTAAAGGGCAAGAAGATAAAGTCAGCCGGAGGGATCATACTGGAAGAGACTCACATTCCTCAGCTAAGGATTCTCAAGATAGGTCCAGTGTGCTCAATTTAAATGAATCAGATGAAAAAAATAGCGTGTGTGAGTCCAATAAAAAAGATCAATCCCTAAGTCCCAGTGTAAATCGCCAAGAACCTCCTCTTATTAATGGGGCGCCTCCTGAAGAGCTGCAATCAATGGAAAAAGATATGGACATATGTGACACACCACCTCACATTCCTGTGGTGGCCGAGTCAGCCGTTGGTAAATGGATTTATCTTGATGCTTTTGGTATTGAACGTAGGCCTTCAAAATTATGTGACCTTAAGGAACTTGTGGAAGAAGAGGTTCTTTTCTCTGATCATTTAATCAAGCATTTGGATAGTGATAGGTGGGTGACCGTTGAAAGTAGTGTTCTTGAAGAGCTTCTCATTTCTACAGTTCCATAGCTTCTCCCACAAAAGCTCGAGTGAAAGAGAGACCTTCTTCAAGATCTGTCCGATCACACTTTACAACTGGTGATATCAAGAAATTATCTGCAGAAAGTGATTCATTATCAAAAGCTGTTAATGACCAACGCTTGAAAGGATCGTGGAAGTTGTTTGCATCCATTAATACTCCTAAAGACCATGTTTGTACTGTAGATGAGTTGCAGTTACACTTGGGTGAGTGGTTCTACCTTGATGGTGCTGGGCATGAAAGGGGACCTTCATCATTTTCTGAACTTCAGGTTTTGGTAGATCAAGGAGTTATCCCAAAATATAGCAGCGCATTTCGTAAATATGATCAAGTTTGGGTTCCAATCACCTTGGCTGCTGGAAGTCTTGAAGCCACTGCATGGAATCAGCCTGAGAATGCTGCACCATCTTCTGATTCTTCTGGAACTCTACTTTTAGATTCACAAGGTGTCACTGTTAGTGATAATAATGCAAGTTCCAGTTCATTTTACAGGCTACATCCCCAATTCATTGGATATACCTGTGGGAAGCTTCATGAATTGCTAATGAAATCGTTTAAGAGTCGGGAATTTGCTGCAGCCATAAATGAGGTTTTAGACCAATGGATTAGTGCAAAACAGCCAAAGAAATAAATGGACAAGCATTTTTATCAGAAAACAGGTATACTAACAATTTTAAATGCTACATGAGTCTATGTCAGGTTTGACAGAAATATTTTAATTTATAATGAAATGCTAGAGCTTTTCACAAGTTTTGCGGGTAGTGTTAAGGCATTTTGCAAAATCTGTCACTTTTCTAATATATAAAAAATAGACACTTATTGGTTTAATTTAATATGATAATCACGTTCAAGATGCTTTTGTAGTGAATCTTCTCTTAAAAGCAATATGTAATTTTACTTGGTATAGGCTAGAGCTTTTCTGTCATTTCCTTTTCCATGTCTCACTTTCTTGGATTTTTGGCATGGCATTTTGGCTATTATCGCATACTTGCAGTTGTCAGGGTGCATGTGCTTGTAGATATGCGTGATAACATATTTAAGTTGACAAGGGTCCTTGGTTTGTTCTTGAACTTGGTGAATAAGAAATTTGGATGTGCAAATTTTAAATTTTTTTCATAATTTTGTAAATATAGGAGACATTTGTTTATTTTTATTTTTTGTATGTATGTTGTTGAATTTTGGCCTGTAATTGCAGATAGTGGAAAACGAGCACGGATTTTGGTTAATGGAAGCGAAGAAGAGTATGACATTGAAGATGAGTTGCAGTCAATCCGAAAGGGTGAGGTTGAATTTGAAGATTTATGTGGTGATGCAACCTTCCATGACCAGGAGAATGCTTGTTCCATCAGTGAGATGGGGAGCTGGGGCTTGTTGGATGGTCACGAGTCTTCCATTTCTTGAGATCTGACATAAAGTCCCTTGCCTTTGCTTCTTTGACTTGTAAACACTGGAGAAGTGCTGTCAGGTTTTACAAGGGGATTGAAAGGCAGGTTGACTTGTCATCTCTTGGTCCTAGTTGCAGTAACTCTATAGTGAAGAAAATCATGGTATGCTTCATGGTTGTCTAAATTACTTGTAAAAGATTTTTTTCCAACTTTACATTTCAGGCTTAATATAATTCTTTATTTGCAGAATCGTTATGACAAAGAGAAGATAAATTCCATGATTCTAGTTTGTTGCACAAGCATAAGTCCAAGCACACTTGAAGATGTTCTTTGTGTTTTTCCTAGTTTATCTTATCTAGATATTAGAGGTTGCGGCCAGTTTGAGGAATTGGTGGTCAAATTTCCCAATTTGAAGTGGTTCAAGAGTAGAAGTTTGCATGCTATGACGACATTGGATGATTCTAACTCCAAAATAAGGAACCTGAAACAAATTACTGAGAAAACTTCATCTGGCCTTAAAACAGGCCTGGGGAATGCTATAGATGATTTTGGTGAATTGAAGAGCTATTTTGAAAGTGTTGACAGAAGAGACTCTGCAAATCAATTATTTCGCCAGAGTTTGTATAGGCATTCAAAGTTATTTGATGCCAGGAAGTCGTCCTCCATTTTATCCAGGGAAGCTCGTATCAGGAGATGGGCCATTAAAAAATCTGAAAATGGGTACAAGCGAATGGAGGAACTCCTTGCTTCTAGTATATGGGATATCATGAAGGAGAATATATCTGATTTTTTTGTGCCCAAGGTGCTGTGGTCTTATGCTTTCTTTTGTGTTTTCTTTTTCCTGAATTATGTTTAAAAGTCAAATTTTTGCTGTCATTTGGTTATTAGGTTGCACAAATTGAGGAAAAAATGAAAAATGGTTATTACATTGGACATGATCTGGGTTTTGTTAAAGAGGACATCAGCCGGATGTGCAGGGATGCAATAAAGTAAGTTTTCTAGTTGCCACTTTTAATTCTCCATTTGATAATTTGTATTGAAGATTATTTCTAAGTTGTAAAGGCTTTGAATCATCCAAGCTGTAGTCATTTGTTAACTTGTTGGGTAATGTGTTACCCAGTTAGATTTTCTGAAGGTTGCCATGTATAATTGTATATCATTTCTTCTTAATGAAATTTAAAATGTGATTTCTTTATATGACTAGAGCATTTTCTTTCCCTTCATAATATTTATTTATCAAAAAAAAAACATGAATTGTTGATTTTGTACCTTCGTTCCCGTTCTTTATTTTTACTGCGATACATTCAGCATTTTTATCTGATAATAAGCTAACTCTTCCTCTTGTTTTTATACCACTCTGTTGGATGTAGAGCAAAGAATTGTGGTGGTGCTCGAGACATGAATCGCATAATTACTTTATTTATCCAGCTTGCCACACGTTTAGAAGAGGGTGCTAAGATTACCTCCTCTTATGAAAGAGACGAATTGCTAAAGTCTTGGAAAGATGACTCATCGACTGGGTTCTCAAGGTACAAGAAGAAACTTGTTAAGGCAGTCACTGAAAGGAAGTACATGAACAAAAGCAATGGCACTTCATTTTCTGATGGTGTTTTTGATCATGGGGAATATGCATCTGATAGAGAAATTAGAAAGCGGTTGTCCAAACTTAATAGGAGATCTCTTGACTCAGAAAGTGAAACATCTGATGAACTGGATCACTCCTCTGAGGATGGAAAAAGTGAGAGTGAGACTGAAAGTACAGCTTCAGATACAGAGAGTGACTTGGATTTCAAGCCTGAAAGTCGGTCTGTAGAGTCGAGAGGGTATGGATACTTCATGGCTGGAGATAGTTTCGATTCTATGGCTGATGATCGTGAATGGGGTGCTCGCATGACCAAAGCCAGTTTGGTTCCATCTGTCACTAGGAAATATGATGTCATTGATCAGTATGTTGTCGTAGCTGATGAGGAGGATGTGCGGCGTAAGATGCAGGTATCGTTGCCAGAGGACTATGATGAGAAGCTGAATGCTCAGAAAACTGGCACTGAGGAGTTGGATATGGAACTTCCTGAAGTCAAAGATTATAAACCCAGAAAAGAGCTTGGAGACGAAGTTATAGAGCAAGAAGTTTATGGAATTGATCCTTATACTCACAATCTTTTACTTGATTCCATGTCGGGCGAGTTGGAATGGCCTTTAGAGGATAAGCGATCTTTTATCAAAGATGTTCTCCTTCGAACTCTGAATAAGCAAGTTAGACACTTCACATGCACTGGGAACACTCCAATGATGTACCCCTTGAAGTCTGTTGTAGAAGAAATCAAAAGAGTTGCTGAGGTGGACTGTGATAAACAAACAATGAAAATGTGTCTAGGTATACTGAAAGCCATTGATGCTCGTCCTGATGATAAATATGTTGCTTACCGAAAGGTATAAATGTGCTTCATATCTCGTACTATTTTCTGTTCTTTATTCTCATATTTAATAACATTATGTGGTTTTTCTTGTTCTATTGTTTTATGATTTGGATATTGACATTAATTATGCTTTATTAGGGTCTGGCTGTTCTTTGCAACAAGGAAGGTGGTTTTAGAGAAGAAGATTTTGTTGTAGAGTTTTTGGGAGAGGTATGGATTTGGATTATTTTTCAAACAGTTTCATTTAACTACACCTTATTGCAAATAATATAACTCTTTACATTTTTTGAGGTATTTAACTTACAGCTATATAAAAAATACCCATTTTTATTTTCAGTTCGCTAGTTATTTTGTGGCTTTTGAATAAAATCTCTTTGAAGTTTTAATTTCTACAGGTTTATCCTGTTTGGAAATGGTTTGAGAAGCAAGATGGTATACGGATATTGCAGAATAACAGCAAGGATCCAGCTCCTGAGTTTTACAACATCTACCTTGAGAGGCCAAAGGTTTCCACTTCAATATGTCTTGTGCTAAATGTTTTTCTGTGGATGGTTAATTTAATTTCTTTTTTGAAATTGTTTGCTGCTTGTCTCTTATTTATCAGGGTGATGCTGCTGGATACGATTTAGTTGTTGTTGATGCCATGCACAAGGCAAATTATGTGAGTCGAATTTGTCATTCTTGTCACCCTAATTGTGAAGCCAAGTAAGTATATTCTGTTGCTCTTTTTGGTCCATGAAGAATTTTAAAGCAATATATCCAGTCATTTTCTCTCTTTCCCCATTTCCCCTAGTTCGGGAACATTTGAACTTGTATAGAGCAGAATAATTCAAACTTTTTTAATATGGAGTATTATGCTCGTCAGTGTCTTTTCTTATGCTTTATATTAATAAATTATATACTTGATGTTTGTCACATGTATGATTGTTAGACACATTTAACCTATTGCCACTGAAATTCAATTGTTTGTACTCTGTTTTGAGCTTTTGCACTGAAGGTATGCTTAAATCAGCTTGTGCAATGTCTTTGGATGCCTAAAAGCTGAAAAGTGATTGATCACATCAAAAATGTAGCATTGATGTTATACACAATTGAAATTTATTGTGATAGACGTTTTACTAGTATGAACGTTATCCTCTGGTCCCAAATAACATATCCTTTCCCTTTTAGGACAAATTGTAGTTTAATCTGTCTCTCTAGTATCCCTTTATTCAATAGTTTAGTGATTATGTTATTTTTTGGTGCATAAAGCTTTTTTCTATTGGCATGACCTTTTCCTCCCCTTTGCCTGTAACTTATGATCCTTAACAAACTTAGCCTAGCTACAAATTCATAGTACCAGACCTTTTCCTACTCTCTAGTTCCTTTCATAGTACCAATATATTGTTTCCTATATTTTATCTATTAACTTCCTTTTCTTGGATGCAGAGTTACTGCTGTAGATGGTCAGTACCAAATTGGAATCTATGCTCTACGTCCAATACGGTATGGCGAGGAGATTACATTTGATTATAACTCCGTTACAGAGGTTTGAATCTTCTATCCTTCCAGCTTTGTTAAACAAGATAATTTGTATGTTCTTATAGCTCATGATTGATACTTGTCTTATCAGAGCAAGGAAGAATATGAAGCATCTGTCTGTCTCTGTTGTAGTCAAGTTTGCCGTGGCAGCTACTTGAATTTGACCAGTGAAGGTGCATTTCAGAAGGTACACATTTTCGTGATGATTTTTTTTTTGAAGAAACTAAAATGATAATTTCTTTATTGGCTGTGAAAACAAAATTATATGTTCCTTATTGCCTCCTGTTGAATCAGTTGACCTTTTCTCGTTTGAGTTTCGAAAAAGTTGTTATAGGAATTTTGTTGTTCATCAGGTACTGAAGGAGTGGCATGGCATACTGGATCGACAACAGCTAATGCTGGAAGCTTGTGAACTAAATTCTGTATCCGAAGAAGATTACCTTGAGCTAGGGAGGGCTGGCCTAGGCAGCTGTTTACTGGGTGGATTGCCTGATTGGTTGGTTGCATACTCAGCTCAAGTGGTATGCTTTTTGTTTCTGTCATGTCATTTCATTGCCTCATTTTTGGAAGTGAAAGTGGGGAAATTTTATTCTCCTAACGTTTCCTTTCTGGAGTAGGTGAGGTTTATAAATTTTGAGAGAACAAAGCTCCCTGAGCAAATTTTAAGGCATAATTTGGAAGAGAAGCGGAAATACTGTATAGATATATCTCTTGATGCAGAGAGGAACGATGCTGAGATTCAGGTATGTTGCTGTCTTTGTGCCTTTGCTTATGTCTACCCATGTTTGTTTGGAGCTTTTTATGCTTTGTTTTAAAATTTAAATGCTTATTGTATACTTTCTTGCTGAATGAGATAGGTTGAGGGCGTCTATAACCAGAGGCTTCAGAATTTGGCTATAACTCTTGACAAGGTGATTACCCTCTGTCTCTGAATAACATATTTGGCTGTAATATTTTTCAAATACTCTCCTACATGATAAATTATGGTAGCGTGTAATGTGATGGGGCATATAGTAATCTGTACTTCGAAGTGGTGTTTATTATTTTGAAGAGCTAAGCTTTAAAAAAAATTAAGTTCACACTTCTCAGAATTCATGGATTACTCTTGTTTTCGTTTGGTCTAATGGTTGGATGGTAGTCATCTTTATGTTTTGAAATCATTACATTACCATTAATGATATCAAATTATGTAGAGGCTAGTCCTGTATTATGAGAGAATTATATACATGTTGATCATGTTATACTATTATCCTTATGTTGTTAATTCTGGTGTTGTTTTAGGTGAGGTATGTAATGAGATGCGTGTTTGGTGACCCCAAAAAGGCTCCACCTCCCCTAGAGAGGCTCAGTCCTGAAGAAGCTGTATCCTTTCTCTGGAAAGGCGAGGGGTCACTTGTTGAGGAGCTTCTTCAGTGCATGGCTCCTCATGTGGAAGATGATATACTCAATGATTTGAGGTCCAAGATTCAATCCCGTGATTCATCATGGTCTGACAACATTCTTAAAGAACTTCAGAGATCTTTGTTATGGTGAGTGCATTGTTCTCATTAAAGGCGTCCCCATGCTGTTTAATTTCAGTAAAGAATCTTCAACCGTTTCTTTGTTTTGAAGGTTGAGGGATGAGGTTCGGAATCTTCCGTGCACATATAAGTGCCGGCATGATGCCGCTGCTGACTTGATCCATATTTATGCTTACACAAAGTGCTTCATAAGAGTTCGGGATTTGTTCATATCGTGTTTGGTTGTTTGGGATCTATGGAGCAGTTTCTGGAGGTTATGGAGAATTTCGTCAGTCTTGCCTAAAGACCCAATCTCTGTGCTGTGTTCTTGGTCGGACATGAGGCCGAAGTCAATTATTTGGAGCTTTATACCGGGGTAGTTCTATGGTCTTTTTGGAAGGCAAGAAACTCGGTGGTTTTTGATGATTGGAAATTGGACATTCATTCGCTTTTCTTCATATGCAGATTTAGATTGGCTAAATGGTTCTTAGCTAAAAACCAGAACGTTATTATTCCGGTTGATTCACTAGTAGGGGATCCTACACTTGCTGATAAGCATTATACTAGTGAACCGAAAAAGAAGAAGGTTCAGGGCTGGCTTCCTCCTCCTCTTCATTTCTTTAAAGTCAACGTTGATGGGGCAGTTAGAGGGGACGGGATGCTGGGGGGAATTGGGGGTATTTTAAGAGACTCAGAAAGTAAAATTCTTGGGTCTTTCTCGCACGCCGTTGGTCCGGGTCTTCCTCCACTCGTAGAGTTGAAAGCCATTGAGAAAGGAATTGACTTTTTTCTCTCGTCAGAATGGGCGATGAAAGGAAGGTTAATTATAGAAAGTGATTGTAAATCAGTGGTGGATTGGATCTTGCTGCCGACATCATCTCCTCGTTTTGTTAGTTCGTTGGTTCAGAAAATTGTTTCCTTAATTTTGGACAGGGAGATCATTGTTAGACATATTCCGAGGAGTTGTAATTGTGAGGCTGACACCTTAGCTAAGCAGGGGATTGGATGAATATTTTAAATAGCCTTAGAGATTTTTTAGTAGGGTTGTTGGTTTATTGAGATTGTTGGGGCTGTGATAGTTTCGTTGTTGGGTATGGGAGGGCTGGTCGTATAGGGGAATTTGTTTTTTTTGTTCTGTTATTTTTAAGGTTTTGTTTGCTTGTCTTATGGTTGTATCTTATGTACTTTGGTTATGATCAATAAAATCCTAAGGCACTCTTTTCCTTCTTCCGCTGATTAAGGAGCTTCTCTAAAAGATCCTTTAATCAAGAAGGGGGTTTTTAACAAGGCTTGTAATTCTTATAAAAAAAAAAGAGTTCGGGTGAGTTTTTTACTATTATTTTTCTGATAAACCTGTTTTGTGTATGTGTGAAAGGGGGAGAGGGAGCAGTGAAGTAGAGAATGCTATTGTCGTGTGTATCTTTTGATCCAATCAATCATTTTTATGGACAGGGATACAAAGCAGTAACATCTCCCCCCGTCTACATTAGTCCTCTTGACTTGAGCCCCAAGTACTCCGACAAGTTCACAGGTCTGCAGGAATATTGCAAGACATATGGTGAAAACTATGGTTTGGGGCAGCTGATATTTTGGTATAACCAGACCAGAGTCGATCCAGATAGCAGCCTGTTTAGAGTAAGTAGGGGTTGATTGTCATTACCTGACATTGGTTGCTTCTATTCCAAGGTTCAGAAGCCATCAAAGCATCTTGTTTATGGCCCAAAGACTCTCAAATTTATGCTGTCCTGTATGGTAAGCTTCTTTCATCCATTTGTGATGACGCAAATGCTGTCTTGAATTCTTTGGATTTCAAGTATTCATAATACTCCACATTGCTTCCAAGTTGGCCATTTTGTAAATTACTTGGATGATTTTTGTGCATCATTGCAGAGTTAGGTTATGCTGATACGTTCATGCTCTGGGGATGAGGGCTATCTATTTAATACTGTTTTCGATGACATACCTGAATTTCTAACCTGATTATATTGTGAATTGGATGGTCTTTGATTTGCCAGTGTATTTGTTAATTACCCTTAAATCACGAATAGAGAAGTAGCATTCCCACAGTTGAATTGTATGTAGAGGACCGATAGTATTTGACTGGAAAGTTTATTGCCATCTATAGGAACGTGCACTGGTTTACAGGAACTCAATGGCTTCTGTTTTAATATGGTTCTTATAAAAAAAAATATGGTTCTTATTGGTGCAGGAGAAGCAACCCCAGAGACCGTGGCCCAAGGACAGAATATGGACATTCAAAACTAGTCCGAAAATCTTTGGCAGTCCGATGCTAGATGCAGTCTTAAATAATAGTTCACCGGACAGAGAGATGATGCAATGGTTGAAGCATAGACCAGCAAAATTCCATGCAATGTGGGATCGATGAGACAATTTGCTGAAGGGGTTTTGAGTTTTAGTGGGGGAAGTAGTTAGTATTATTATTATTAGCCAATACGTTTGTAAATGTTTTTGGAATGATTCGTCAATTTTAGCTTGGCAGCTACCCTTTCCCCTTTAGAGTGGTAGTTTGGGCAATCATTCCAAAACACCATTTCTTGTGCCCTTTTTTTCCATATCATTCTTATGTACAGTTTTCATCTTTGTATTTTGTAATTCTTTTCGTTTAGCAGGGCCTTTGTTTCCTTATTATAAAGAAAAGTGTTCCGTTTGTGTTGTCTAATGTATTAACATCATTCATTCTTGGAATCTCAACTCAGCTAGTTCAGGAGCTAATTTAAAGCCATGACCCGACCCAACATATGTGAAGCTTTAACGGTGAGTGCAGTGTGACAGCACTGGAGTAGTGTACTCGTGCACCAGTTCATTACTGTCAGTCTTTTGTCCTTTTAAGCTCTGGACCCAGCATGTATGTGCAAGTTCCCGACCATATGCCCCCTTGTAACTATGCGGCAATGATGAAATCACGTACATGGGGGGGGGGGGGAACCCTCCGAGGGATAAAGATGGACAGAACAGAAATTGCACGGACCTGACCTGGTGTCATTTATAGACAAACAAGGCAGGCCGATCATCCTTGATTCCCGTGTAGCCGCCTTCATCCGTCAGGCCCACCATTCGTACTTCCCACCCAATAGCCAATTGACAGGTGGCAGGTGCCCTCCCCTCCTTATAACTTCCCTTCGTGATCTCCTTCTCCATCTCTCCCTACATTTCCCCCAGAAACCAAGCTCTCCGCAACCATGAAAATGGAGACATATGAGTTCTGTTCGGCTACCACTCATCCATTTCACTCTCATCCTCCTTCGCCTTTAACTTCTAGTGTCACCGAGTTCGACAACATCATCGTCAACGATTCTTATCTACAACCTCTCCTCCCACTGATCTATGAACAAGACCCAGACCATGATTTCCCTCCTCTTCCCCTCCAACATTCTCAGCTCACTGATCTCGATTTCTCCCTTTACTCCTCTGATACCCCCGACCCAGACAACAACGACAACAACACCAGCCTCCATTTACTCCTCCATGACCTCCGCCCCCTTCACCACCGTATTCCTCCCCTCCCCGCTTCTCCCACCTCATCAGCTCCCAAACCCAAACGCAGTCGTCTCGACTTAACCCATTCCCACTCCGACAACCACCACCCTCAAACCCTCGATTCCGCCGTGAAAAGCTTCAACGCTCCTGCTCCTGCCCCGATCATCCCATACAGCCATCTCGCGAGGGAGAGGAGACAAAAGCTGGGCGAGAAGACCCGTTGTCTCCAAAAGCTAATGCCGTGGGACAAGAAGATGGACACCGGCACCATGCTCCAAGAGGTTTATAAGTACGTCCGGTTCTTGCAAGCTCAAGTCTCCATTCTCCAATCGATGCCCATCACTTCCAGTTTCTCGTCGGCTCAGCATGTTAATGCTGGAGGCGGATTTGACGGGTTGGGGAGTTTGAACCGGCAACAGCTTTTGCAGGTCCTGATCAACTCCCCCGTGGCGCAGACCATGCTTTGTTCACAGGGTTTTTGCGTTTTTGCTTCTGAGCAGTTGGTTTCGCTTCACAAGGCCAAAGAGAGGAAAACGGCGCTCCAACAGTTCCTCTGTGGTAATAGTAACTGATGAAGAAAACGGAAGCCATGATAAATACTTATATCACCATAATATAGCATAATCAATAATGATTTTATGGATTCTCTTGCAGCTTTTGTTACATTTTCCAGGGTTCGTGTTAGCCTTAAAGTTTTAGTACCAGTTTTGTGAATACAGAGCTTAAACCAATGCAAGGATTAAGTGGTTTTTCTTCATTGCTTGGTTTATCATTTCCATTTATGGTGAATATATATGGGTATATTGCACACTCTCTCTCTAAAGCCGCTATCGACTCGCTTAGCTTAAAGAATATGATGTTTCTGGTTCAATCTCCTGATTTTATTTTTCCAGTTCTATGCATCTGCATGAATTTGGTTGGAAAGGGAAGTTTTGTACCAATGGCCAACATGAGGTTTAGGGTTTGCAGATTTGGTTTTTGATTATGATAGGGGAGAGAGAGTGACATCCAACCTGAGGGGAGCTTTGAGTGAGCTTTGTGCGTGTGATAGTTGATGATGATGATGAATATGGCCATTGGGGTTTCTTGAGTTTCAAGTTCCAGTAGTACGAGTTTGTTTGCATTTGGGCGAGTAATAAATTTTTTATTTTTTAGTTTAATTATTTGGCCTTTCTCGATGTTTAATATATATATATACACACACATTAATATTCCTTCATTATTAGAAGGGAAAATAAAAAATAAAAAAATTCACGTATGACAATTATCATATGTCGAATTTATGTTTTGTTATATCTAAAATGAAATGTATATATAATAAAGTAGTTTGAAGATTTGCAATTTTCTTTGTGAAAAATTGTATTATATTTTAGTTGTGGGATTCTATTATTTGTAGTGATTTTTTAATTAGTACGCACAATTCTAATAAGAGTATTAGTAATCTAATTCAATTAGGTTAACAATTCAATTAACATTACAAACAAATTGAATAAAAGCTAAGGTGATTATAAATTAATATTTGTTCTAAATATTCTCATACATTCGATAATTAACATTCAATTCCTGGCCTCGCTTGAACATGGAAAACAGCCTTCTTATCAAAACAGCAATCGCACCCTCAAAATCATCAATCTTCATGTCTGTTTCTTCTCCCCAAGGGAATGGCTCCATCGGCTTCGTTGCTTCCAGGAGATCTTTGGTCGTAAACTTCGGCTTCGACCGCTCCAATGGACCTATTTCGTGATCATACATCCCCAGCTCTGCACAATGATCCTAGAAAATGGAGGGGTGGAAATGATCAAAGATTGTTTTTTCCTTGGAAACTATCCATGGATGTAAATGTTTCTTACTTGATCAGCATGCATTTTATTTACAAATGTCCTGAATATCTTGAAGTTCTTGTCTTTCAATAGTTCATCTGATAAACGAAGATATGTTATCCCGTTCGTTATCTGCTTCGGTTTGCCGTATCTGTTGATTCCATTAGGCCTCGCATTTAACAGGATTTGCTTGTAACCATTGATGTCGTATCTCGATAACGCATTCTCTCCTGCTACTTCGAGCTGCTCTCTCCAGCATCCACTCAGAACCTGCGATACAGACGTGCAATCGATGAATTCACATTCCGCCGTCTTGGTATAAGTATGATTTTACATTGTTGTTTGAAAAAGGAAAATGGTGACAATTTTCTTGCAAGACTAGGCATTGATTTCTACCTGCGTAAGTTGCAGGGGAATTTACCTGTTGAACAAGTTCCTGAGGCCCACATTTGGTATCGGCTCGTTGTTCCGAGTTCCTCATCTCCAGGCATGTGAAACTGAAAATGGCATAATGCCTCGACAGCATCCTCGCGATGGGCCGGTATCCGTCTCGGTCTTTCAAATTGGATTATCCTGAAGTCAGTTCTGCTGCATGACTAGGAGATTTGTACCACCAATGCTATCTGTTTTGAACAAAATAGTAAGTGAAAATACTGATAGATTTAAGCCTTTGGGTGAAAATTCTTTTAGTCTAAAGACTTGTGAGACATACTTTTGCAGCTAGCTTCACTTTACACCCCAAGAAAGCTTTGTTAGCTTCATCAAGGATCTCGTCGCCGTGGTTTATTAACTTGTTCGAGTACCAAGTCAAGAAAAACTTCCCTTTCTCGGTCAGGTATGTCCCGTTCAATCTGAAGAACTCTGTCGTTCCAGGCGTATCGTTGTATTCCCCCGCATTATCAGGCAATCCCCATTCGGGATGGCCTGCATTCGTCGCTGACTCTTTGAACTCCGCTTTGAGGTACTCGTCATAGCACTGAAATTCTCCAATACCAGGAAAAACCCATCCTTGAGTTCCTGTCTAAGAAGGATATCTAAGCTCCCCTGCAGGACCAAGCCCTACTGCGATGTCGATTTAGAGCCCTGCTTCGAGAAAATCCGACATGTTCTCTTTGAAGCTCTTCATGTAGTCGCTGTACATCTACAAAAACCAACAATATAAGTCTTTTTTCAACGGCGAAATTCATTGCAGAACAGCTCCTGCAGTTGAACTAACCTGGACAGCGGTTCTTCCATCGAAAATCGGCTGATGATCCACACCAATGGTGAGGTACTCTTCATTCCGGTTACCTCTCTGATTGGTATAAAAGATGTCAGGGTCGGTTTCACCGATGTCGAGCACCCATTTCGGAAGCGGGATGGTAACTTCGTCTCCTACATTACAGCAGCATCGATGGAATGACACAATGGCTTGTAGTTTCAACCCGCATTCTTGAACAAGTGCAAACAAGCTCCTATAAGCACTCCAGTCGTATTGTTCCCTTCGATTCCACAATCCCCCACCAAACATCAACCATTACTCCATCGAACCCAACCACTCTCAGCTCGTCGAGCTGTTTCTCGATCTTCTGCCTATCTTCAAAAACATTGTCATTTGAAATAACTCCCAACTGAGCAAGAGAAAGAAACATATAGTTAGTAGCTTGATATGCAAATCAGAAAAAAATGTCGCCATATCAGAAACTTACCGGAAGCATCACATAGACTGGCACATAGTTCGCTAGCATCCGTTCATCATAAGCCAGAGCAGCCAGAGCCTGCATGTTTCGCCGCACCGATGAAGTTCTTGTTTCATATATCTCAAAATTATTTATTTATTTTTTCCCTTTCACCTCACCTCAGCACTTCATCTGTTGAGAACTCTGATGCCACTGCTTTGGGAACTTGTGTTATATCTACAGAGTTGATTCTACCTGTTTTCCCCAGAGCTTTGAACCTGGTGGAAAACGCCAACGCCGCCGTAAAGCTGAACCCAACAACCCTGCGTTGAACATATAACGCTCGTCGTGTTCACCATCGCTTATGCTTCTTCTGGAACAGTAGTGGGGCAAAAATCTGGTTTGTTGCTTCTCATGCTGGAATAATTTATGTGGTGTTCAATCTTCATGGTTGATAAATGAAAATTATCTTCAGGAATCATCTACATGGGGAGGAGATGAACAAGCACCCTTGAAAACACACAGACTTGTGGCCTGTATAAAAAATCAACACTTGGTTTGTTTGTACTAAGCAAATTGAATTGTACACACACACACATATATGGACGATATATGTCTTCGTGCTAATGCCAATATCTTCAGTTTTGTTCCCTTTCTTCACTCCGTAAAGAAAATATAAGTTAAGTAATAAGTTGTATTTTTATGTTTTTTTTTAAGGTTAGATTCTATTTACTATTTAGCAATTTTTCATTTTTCTTCTTTTACTAAGTTCATAAAAATGGAAAGCTTAATGTAAATTTTAAATATTTAAAATGAAAATATTATAATTTTTTATATAAGATATATGTTATATATAAGTAAAAAATATCAAACTCGTAAACTATAATAATAATCTAAATATAATATAATTGTATAATATCCAGGTAATTTCACCCAAAAATCACCCTAAAGTGTTAAATATTACTTGTCAGGCACCCTTTCTCTAAATATTATCAATCTATAACCTTTTCTGATAAAGCGCAGATCATGAGACGCGCCTTCGTAGGATTTTGTCCGAGCTGGCGCTACAGTGGAAAAGCGCAGATCATAATCCGTGCCTTTGCGGGGTTCTATCCGAGCTGACACCACGTTGGTAAATCACGAATCATGAAGCGCGTCTTTGCTAGGAATTAGACACTTGGCGGAAGGCGCGAAATATTTATTTAAATCCCAACTGTCCCTCCTTAAATACCGGCCAACCCCCCTTTCCCGTCCCCTATAAATACCTCCTCATCCAACATTCATATCACATAAAAAAACACTATGTTTCTTCCTTCTATATATTATTCTATCGAGTTTTAAGTATAATAATCGTTTTTAAAAGTTTTTTTTATTATATTATAATCATTTAATAGTTTATTATTTTATTATTCTAACTTTTTTATTATTTTTTGCAGTTATAAAATGACATGTGGGGTGTTGCATTTAGAAGAGAATCATATATCAAATCATTTTACCGATACGATAATAATTTTAAATTCTATTATTTTATTTATTGTGAATGTTTTATTCATTTATTCTTTTAGTATTAGTTTATATTTTAATTTGTATACTATTTATTTAATTAGGTGAATGACTGTATATTATATCCACTTATTTGTAACGCTAAATTAGAGATATTGAGTCATGTATGATCGTATTTAGCTGAGGCTGGATTCGGTTATATAGCGAAAAATAAATGGCACTGTAACCTTGAATCCAACCTTATTTGTGTCCTGATTGAGAGGTGGAGACCGGAAACACACACATTCCATCTTCTGTATGGGGATTGCATTATTACGCTGGAGGATGTTTCTTACATTTGGGGCTTCCGGTAGATGAGGATGTTATTTCTAGTATGGCGGATGGTGATTGACATTCCTTATGCGAGGAGTATCATGGAGGTATCTCGTCTAATTTCAACGGTGGTCAAATACCGTTATCATGGTTGACTAGAAATTTTCGACGGTGAGCGATGACTGTTCTGAGGAATAGACTCAAATATTTGCTCGGGCTTGCATATTGCAACTCATAGGAGGGATCTTGATGCCCCATAAATCTATCAACCAAGTTCATTGTATGTGGTTGCGTCAGTTTATAGATTTACTAGTTGTCGGCTCATTCAGTTGGGGCTCCGTGGTTTTGGTATCTCTGTATAAAGAAATTTGTCGAGCAACTGATTATCAAAAAAATGTTATCGACGAATGTCTCCTTCTTATG